ACAGTGCAGAAGGCCACTACACTGTGGAACCAGCTTCCGGCACCTGTGTAGAGACGCAGGCTGTGCCGAAGGTTCACAACTCAAAAAGATCGAATGGATTTAAACATGAATGCTCACCAAGCAGGTTGCATCCAAGAAGAGAGATTATTGGTATTCAGGATGAACAACACGTGTAAGCGAGACTGACTAAGAGCGAGTCCATCGTAAAGCAAGCCCGATCGACTGAAAGAGAGTCGATCGAAGAGGACTTAATTGTGGTAGTGCACTCACAGTCAGAACACGTATTTAAAGAAAGTTCCAGCGTTCCGGAGATTGATAACGCCCGATAGAGTTATGTTAAGATTGTGATCCCTAAACTACGTGCGAATGTGTTTTCCAGGGAAACACCGAGACAGTGAATGTCTTGGTGAATGACAGATCAGGTGTATGCGCTTATACACTTGTTCTGGTTACACCTCTGCATTCAGCTTCGGAGGTAGTCAAATTTCCAACGCTAAAATCTACAAGATTCTTCAGTGATCTGCGTAGCGACAAGCTCAAGCGCATCTGCGTACTCGTCACAGGTGACGAGTACGTCGCCAATATTCGGTCTTCACAAGTGTTTATCAGAATGAACGGGTTATCAGTAGCTCATCAATGGGCGAGAGTGTTCTCGATGAGAAGACCCGGATTGAGCGATACACGTCTTAATATTGGGAGTCTTTAAAGTCATATTCTTTCAATATGGATTTGATGGAATTCAGGGATGCTTCACCTGAATTCGTACCATGCGAGTTGCCCAAGGACAAAGGCACTCGGCATGAAATAGAACTGAACCCCGCTTCGCAGTACTGTGTCATGAAGCAGTGGCCACTGCCTCGTGAACAGGTCACAGCGATCGACAAATTATTTACTGATCTCTTAGCGGCTGGTCATGTGAGGTAATCAACATCCCCACACAGCTCTCCGACCTTCGTGTGCGCAAACCCACAGAAGAGTGGCGGATAGTGCACACGTATATACACGCTGCGCTGCAATAGTACCGGCTCAAACGCCGATACCGAGGAAGGACGTCATCATTGATGGTATGGCAAGAAGTACCATATTTTCGTCCTTGGATCTAATGAATGGATTCTATCAGATCATCATGCTTGAACGGAACATCCCATACACAGCAGTGAGCACCCCAGTGATGTGCTATGGGAGTGACGGGTAATGTCACAGGTTATAAGTAACGCCTCTTCAACGTTCGACGTATTTTTTACGAATCTGTTGCGATCGGTGCGAGATTTTGCACCGAGTTACTTTTACGATTTCTTCGTCCATAGCCGGGATATGGATGGAAAAACGAAGTGGAGGTCTATAAAATCCACATCCGGAAGGTTCTTACACATTTGCGAGCATACCTTGCTCGTGAATATCACTAAGTGTATAGTCGCAGCAAACAAAATACTGCTTCTTGGCCGCACCGTGGATAAAAACGGTGTACGCCCTGATCCGGAAAAGATCAGGTCGATGAGCGACTGGCCTGTGCCAGTCGAAGTCAAGGGGCTTCGAAAGTTTCTTGGCTTGGCGGCGTACTTGCACAAATACTTGCGCAACTGTGCCGAGATGACCGTAAATCTCTCTCGTCTACAAAAAAAACAAGAGGTGGTCATGGAGCGCTGAGTGTCAGCACTCGTTTGAAGGCATCAAGAAGAGCTTGGTGCAATCGCCTGTGTTGGCGATTGCAGACCAAGATGAACCATTTAATGTGGTCTGTGACGCCAGCGATTTTGCAATCGGCTGCGCGTTAATGCATTATGACTCATACAATGTTGAGCGCGTCGTCTGTTACCAATCGCGTCAGTTGCAAGCAGCTGAGCGTAACTACCCAGTGGATAACAAGAAACTCCATGCCATGAAATGTGCATTGGCTAAGGTTCGGGTGTATCTCTTAGGAGTTAGCCCATTCATCGTTATACCGACCATGCGTCGTTACGCACGGCCGTAAACAGTCCACACATCTTGCAACGAATAGCGAGGTGGCTGTCTTTCTTTGTGGAGTACAACTTCTCCGTCGGAAATCAACCAGAACGACTTGACGTCGTCGCTGATGCTCTTCGCGTCGGCCCGATTTCGAGCCGACTGCTCAACCAAACAGTAGGGGTGATCCCACTATAGCAATACTATCAGTAAGTGCTTAGTTGTCGAATTTGCTCGATGACTTGCGAAAAGCATACACAGAAGATGAGTATCTTCTGCGATTACTGGATTTTGTATCCAATCCATACCGTCAAGCTCTGAAAATCTTGACTTTTCCATACCGCTCGTCAATTGAACGGTATTCGATGGACTGCTGTACTATACAGCAGTCAACGGCGACCCACCTCGTGTCGTCGTTCCGGTTCACAATCATTCGCGATTGCGCATCATGTATGAGTGTCACGATGCCCCGAGAAGTGGGCATCGCGGTAGAGAACAGAATAAACTCACAGTAAGTCGTGAGTTCTACTGGCTACACCAGTACGATTTTGTGCGCAAATGCATTCGCGCTTGCGAAATATGTCAACGGGTAAAGCCTAGTACTTCATCCCGTGCAACCTTTCAGCCTCTACTGATTCCGTCAGAGTGCGGGCAGTCCGTATCGATGGACTTCGTCTTTGGATTTCCCAAAGACGCTCACACGAATACTGGTATTTTTTGTGCTTCTTGATCGGTTCAGCAAGATGGTACATCTGTTGCTGTACCCGAGTCAATCACGGCAAGTGGCTGTGCTTGTGTCTTTATCGATATTACCTTCCGACTTCACGGATTTCCCCGTGAACTCGTGTCAGACAAGGATCTTTGAATCACAGCGGAGTTCTGGCAATCCCGTATTCCGTTCACTTAGAAAACGGGTGAAGATGTCGACTGCTGAACATCAAGAAACATATGGCCAGACGGAACGCTTAAACCGCGTCCTCGAAGAGATTCTTAAAGGGTATGTCCACTTGCTTACGAGTTACAGTGAATTTTCTTGCTGATGGCGGAATTTGCCATTAACAACTCTGTGTATGCGTCGACAACGCATGCATCGTTCTTCTTGAATGGCCTACGCCATCCAAGTTTGCCCGCCTTCTTAGAGTGTGACTTTAGTTTAAGTGGGGGTGGACTCGCTCGAACAAAAACCGATCTGGTTCTTGCACATCACACTTCGACAATGGTTTCGACGTGATAAGTGCCGATGATGATCACATCGATATCGATGATGATGATGATGACGATGCTGTCATATTCAGCATTGCCAATGACAGCCACAGTGAGGACAATGACGCCCATACTAGTGAAGACAACGTTCTTTTCAGTAAGGCGCTTCGTGTGCACTGCTGTTAACAAGGATGAGTCGGCAGAGAAATTTTTGCTGAATCGCGAAGAAATTATTCGCTTCCTTCAAGACTCTATTGCAGATGCAATCTACAAGCAGTAACGACACGCGGACAAACATGGAAGAACGAATACTTTTTCTTTTAATAAAAGAGAAATCGTTTTTAGCTGTCAACAGTCAATCCACTAAAGCATGCATTGAAAAACGTGGGTAGCAGTAAACTGCTGGCCAAGTGCGTTGGTCCATTTTGCGTATTGCGCTACATGGGCAACACATACACAATTGAATTGCCTCGTATGATTCGTACGCATAACGTGTTTTACAGTAGACGTGTCCGTTTCGAGAGGCGAAGAGCACCTCCACAATTAAGGGCCGAGACCACCTTCTAGTGGTTCCGTATCAGCTATCTAGTCTGGTCGACTAGAGAAGCAACCAGTTAAGCTAATTAAGCGATGTCCTGACGAGCTGCAGTCAGCTCGTCACGAAGAGAACGAATCGAACGTCCGTTCTCAAGTAGCGCAACCGCAAACGCGGCACGATCGTTCAAACGATCGTGTGCTAAACAATTGCAATTATCCTTTACAAGGTCATGAAGTTCATAACGCCAAGTTTGTCCGTGAGCCAATTCATCGTGTAACTGATACGTCACACGGTTCAGTTCCTGAATATCAAGCTGATACGACCCTCGATCCGGATCAGGTCTTACTGCCACCAACACATCCTTTGGTGAATTATGGCGGTGGTCAACGCTTTCTGGTGGAGCATATTTTGAACCACCGAGACGTGAAGGGATCCCGGACGAGATACCTCGTCCGCTGGCGTGGCTGTCCACCGGCCCGGGACAGCGGGGGCCTCTCTCCAAGCTGATTGTTGATGTTCTGGGTCTGGTCTAGCAATATGACTAGACTCACCCGCTGCGTTCGAAGAAGGGCTGTCGGTAAACAACCCCCCTGAACGCAATTACAGTGATTGCAAGGTTGTCAATCCCTTCGACCATATCAGAAGAGATGCGCGCCCTTCAGTAGGGAACATTAGGGAGGGAGGTCTCCGTAGGGGCACAATTCGCTTTGTCCAGGCAGCCTGGACATGCATCGCCCCACGAGAGACAGGGTGACCCTTCCTCTCTTGACAGTCGGTGCAAATTGTATCGTACACTGGCTGGGTTACGTTTTCAAACCTGATGCGAGCTGCATCAAGTTTACCGAGCCAGGACTCACGGCCATTACACTCGATGTTATGGATGAAGGCGTTCCATCCTTGCACCAACGCCTTACCGTCTCCGCCAAGATTGCCGTTGAACCACCGATGTTTAAAAAACACATCGGTGAAGAACTCTTCCTCAGCATGATAGTGTCCGTGCTGTAATTAGGAGGACAGATCCTTCTACAATCGAACAACGGGATGCGATCCCAGTCGATGGTCATAACAACCACTTGATTTAACTCCTTGAATGATGGCATACAAGGAGACTCCACTTGAGGAGCATGGCGCAGGGCATTGCGGTACTTGGTCTCTTGAGTGGTGTCAGCATCAGTCCTGACACCAGTAGCAGCTCGATACCACGAGTTGCTTCTCTCCTAGTGACGCATATGGCATCACCACCACCACGCGTCCTAGTGTCAGATGGACTTGCGTGAGACGAGGGTTTGTTAGACGAAACGCTCTGTCTGAAGATCTAGGACCTGATGCCGCCACGTTCCCCAGAGCCATTCGACCTGGATCTTGCAGTGCCCGCCCCGGATGATCCGGAGGCGGGAGGCGCCGCCTTTGAGTTTGATACATCGTCTGACTCGCCAGAATAGATGAGCTCTCTTACAGGCTCGTCCGCATTGTGAGTCACAACATTCGCTGCAGACGCAGCGGATGCATCTGTCGCACGTGGTGGCTCACCCCCTGGACTACTAACAACAGGCACTGCCTGTTGCTCAATCGCAACAGTAGGCAAAGGATCTCCTGCTGCTGGAGCAAGAGGAATACTCTTTTTGGCTGCAAGCATGCATGCAAACGCCTTTTTGGCTGCTTCGGCAGCGCACCACATGGTCTTTGACACCATGCGATAAATTTACAAATGATTCGGAATTTGACCAACAAGTGCTCCCCTTTCCAGAGTGATATAATGGTGATCACCCTTTCCTAAACAAATATAGATCCAATCATTGGGTGATTGATGGATAAGGGGGGGGGTGATGTAACGGGGTATCCCGTCACATGATACTGAAACCAAACGGTGTCAATGGGAAGATTGTCTAGCGCGACAATCTCCTACCAATGATACTCGATATAGGTAATTTTGAAGGTATATTATCCCCTTCGGATAACATCCATGTACTGCTCGAAGTTTGGTTGATAAAGACATATCAACCAAGATTACCACCAATCGCTGCTAGATGCGCGCAATGAGTGGTGAGCAGGTTGTCGTCATACGACGACGTAGTTTTATATAGCTAGATTCAGACTGAAGTTATATTGATAGGTAAGCTATATTAAGTACAGTTCTCTCTTTACCTTTATTCAAACTAGCTGTTCGAGTAGATAAGCTTCCTCTGCACGTACGAGCTTACGTGAAGTTTCGTGGCACCTAGACAAAAGGTGCCCCGTTACAGGATCCGTGATAGCAATTAATTGAAATGCACAACCGTTTTATTCAAAAATGTGTTTTAAGTGCAACTACCTCAACCTGGGTCCATGTGATACTAGTATAGGGCCTAGATCGATCTACTGTAATTTTTTTCTTCAATATTGAGGTGTACAGACTGAGACAACGTGGTTAGTGAAATGGTGACAAGAACATTTGTTACCGATGGGACGGGGCACCCAACAGTCAAAATAACATACCGACTGGTGAGATTAATGACCTTTTCCATCCAAACTGATTTAACACTATCTCAGATCGATTTACAAACGAGATTCTGGGACCAAGTGATGTCTTTATCGACATCAAGTGATATGGGTTTGCAAACTACTGGACACAGATAGAGCGTGGACCACTAAACACCTGGTAGTATTTGTATCAAAATTTGAGGTAGAATAAAAGCTCATGATCGAATATCTGGTGGTGTTGAAGGTCAAAATGTTGAGGCATTGCGAAAACGTATAAGACGAACCACAGATCAAAGATACGAAAGAAGGTGTAACATTGATGCCTTAAAATTGACTTAAGCATCTTTTGCTTAGCATTTGGGTGGTCCTGATAGTCTCGATTTAATAACGGTGTTATGGATGTAACCGCAATGTTCAAGATATGGAAACATTTTAGATCGTAGAGCACAACGTTGATACATCGACCTAATTATTGCAATTTAAAGTGAACTTTTCGACACTTGTAAATGGGAGAGATCCAGATATAAACTGAAATCGAATTGGAAGGTATGTGTATTTTGGGATAGTATAATGATTGGCCAGATACAAATGTGTTTATTAAATGAACAAACTTTAATTGTACTTCTTCCACTTTACATACGGATCCCCTCTCCGTGCAGTTATTTTTTCGCTACCTAACGATCAAGCGCTCAAGTACTCCAAGATACAAGAAGACTGATATTGTATTGTTGACCAGGGTGACGAGAAAAATTTCGGTATTCTTGGTCTGGGTTTAGCAAGTAATCAAAAGACCTAAACGGTGATTGGAAGCAACATATAGGAAATGAGCTGGATAGCAAGATTGTGAGGCGGCTCAAGTAATCACTACTGTAGTCTTAAGACAGGACCTAGCGAGACCGCGACGCTAAAATACCAAATCACTGTGTGAAGATGTCCAAACCGTAATCAAACCTCGATCCTAAACACTGAGCACTATCGTCATCTCTTGAGACTGTAATAAAGAGCTCAAGCTTCTCATCCAAAGGATACACACGGTGAAAGCAAGATTATACAACAATATTTGAATCAGGGTGCCCCTTATATGTCGTCAAGTATGGGAAAGTGGAAAATTACGTCTTACATTATCAATTCATTCAGATAGACGATACTAAACATCCGTCGGCCATTTTTTTCGGTGATTCACGACTATGAGTGTGTATTTCTGGAATTTAGTGTGCAATTAAGATACTGTAAACCTTTTTATAGTAGTACACATTCGTTGTAAATGGTTCGGCAACGAAGCAGTAGACCAATTTATTGCAAATGTCAGATTGTCCTCTTACTTCATAACCTAGTTTATACGTGTTTTGATTACTTTAAAACGAATAAAGTGCTCTTTGCCTGTTAACTAATCGCAGGTTTACTATCAAGGGTTGTCGAGAGCATATTTCTTATCGCAGCCAAATTTTCTCTTTATCATTCGTACAAGCAGTATTTAGAACTTCGTAATTCAGATTGTTTTAGTTTAACCTCAAATCGAGTGCTAAGTGTGCAATCCTCGGACTTATACATGTACACATCGTTAAGCTACACATCCAAGATCTTCTTGTATTGCGTCTATTTGCCACATGAAATGGCTTTGCCTAAGATGAGTACGTACAAAACAGTTCTTCTAGTCGATTAGTAGACATGGCTAAATCAGCAGTCTCTGATATTCACTGGTTAGAAAAATTTGCTGAACGCCGAACTCTGCTCTTATCGACTTGTATGAAAGCTCACTGTTGGAGATCAAGTAATATGTATGCGAAACGATTCTTCTGGATGTGATGTGTTCACGCATCAGCAATTAAAATTGAACTGAAGATGTGATGCTAAATTACATGGTAACCGGAGCACATACGTACCTACAACTGGATGAAACAGATCAGGGAATTGATTCCTATACTTGATAATTTAAGGGTAATTGTGCGAGCTTAAAGTTTGCCAAGTACCCCTGATGATCAGTTATAAGTCGCATACCCACATTGATTTCACAAACGTTCATCATTTGGAAGCTTAATACCAGAGCTTCATACCAATTTTACTCCTAGCCTTTCTGTCTCCTTTTCCTTAGATTGATCCTCTAGACAGCACTTTTGCATTATGCTTGCAGCTTTTCGTGAATGTTTTGTAGCGTTTATAAAACTTGTGCAACAAGAGGCTTGAAGCTTTTACCCGAAACTTGGGATAATGTGAGAGCCACAATTACACAGGCATCGATAGATCTTGGATGCTTGCACTCAATAAATTAATATGTAACAAATGGTGTTTTCTTTACATCTGCCTATCGCTTATGCTGCTATGCTTCCTATAGGTTCTTATTGTGATGAGTGCGCTTTTCGATAATTTTAAGAGTGTTCGTCAGGTCAAGTCTTGACTGCTTCACCGTTAAGATCAATTGGACCAATTTGTTAGTGTGCATCGACGTCATCCTCTGATAATTTGCCTTACTATTAAATTCGACATTGTGAATCCAAAGCCACTTTCATGAGCGGCATCTCCGTTACTCGCAGATGCATCATTATCTTTGTTATGCAACCAAATTATACATATACTGACTTGCATATTCTAGTCAAGACTTTCCATCGCCATCAATTGAGTTGGTTGTGTCGACAAAACTATTTCAATTGATTATTTTACCATCACTTATAATAAATGTGGATAAATTAGAGATCACAGAAGATTTGTTTGCACTTCGATTGGATGTCTTGGTTGAATGTGTAAGGTCGAAGCATATGCCGATTTAAGTCTGTCCATCCTTTTTATATCAAACTTATCGTAAATCCCCCTCTAACATGGATTAATGCTCTTTCCATAGGTCATCTCCATCGGCACCATCTGCACAATGATCCATCTGTATATATGTGCTCGATGATGTTCTGATCCAGCACATGTTGAGCGTTGTTTTATGCGAAAAATAATCATTGAAACAGGTTAAATCTTCTGTGCAGCCCCAAAAGTGGAGGATTTTGACATTTGAATCGTGGCTCCTATTTCTTGGCAAGATGGATTGTGCGTAAGACATTACCCCGTATACTACAATGTGATTGTTGCCAGGATTTACTGCGAACGTAAATAGTTCAAAATCTCATTACCACATATATTTTATACGTGATATTACACAACACGGAATATTGCATTCCTTTCGGCCAAAGGATATGCGGAACTCCGCGTGCGCCATATTTTTTGGTAATTTCTACGACTAGTTGGTGAGTTTTCACGCGCTAATCTATCGATGACATTTTATGCTTAACTTTGACATACATGATGCCTGTGGAGCTGTACCAAGTCTTGAGCTCTTCACTTCAACTTTCTATCCTTATCACGTATCATTTAATTTATACGGTAAGAACTTCTGTTACCATTTTAATTTGCCTTCAGCTGTCACCATATGGCGTAATAGCGCATATGCTCGTCTTTTGTATAATGTTCTCCCATCTTTCTTGCGGAGGAGGGTGATATTACTACCCACGGGATACGAGCATCATCGGATAAGACATCATACCAAAGAAACAAAAGAGTATAAACAGGTCCCGTTTTTTTAGGAAGAAGTTTTATTTATTGTCAGGGTCGTGCATTTCTCATACATGTGGAAGAAACACAAACGCTGACAAGCTACATGGCGCTTAAGGAACTAGCGGGAGCTTAAAAAGCGGTAAAGGAAGGCGTAAAAACGATCGTGTATGCCATAAAAGTAATACGTGGCGTCTAGGGCTACTGACAACTCGGGCGACGCGTTTGTACTATCATTAATTGCGTGTTGTAACGGGGCACCCTGAAGCTTGTACTGGTGACAGTACAAGCTACTTATTCTGATAACAGAATAAGGCGGTGCCTCGTAACTTCACGTACACTCGTACGTGCAGAGGAAGACGGTAAGAAGAAGCGAGTACTCGGTTAGAGTAAAAAGTAGAACTGTATTTATAATAGTTAATGTCTGCAATAAATCACTATTTATCTTCATCTAACTATGTCTAAATACAAATGTGTAAATCAGTTATCTGCTCACCACTCATTGCGTGCGTCTGTCGTGGCGCGTCTTCGTTGGTTGATATAATGGCCTATATCAACCAATTAGGGACTACTTGGAAGTGCTACAGAATATTGTCCTTATGACAATATTCTGAGAATATAACTCTTATAGTTATATTCTATTAACAATTTCTTATAAATTGTTATGTAACGATTCACCCCGTTACA